CATGAATGTTATTCCTATGTAAGTATGAGCATAGCTGCTGTGCTACAACCTTTTCTAGGACCTTGGAGATAAAGGGGAGGTTAGATATTGGTCTATAGTTAGACAGCTGACAGGGGTCAAGGTCAGGTTTTTTAATCAAGGGCTTGATAACTGCTAGTTTAAAAGATTTAGGTACATAGCCAATGCTAAGGGAAGAATTGATTATCTTTAAAAGAGGTTTGATTGTTTCAGGAATTATCTGTTTGAAGAAACAAGTAGGTAAGGGATCTAGTAAACAGGTTGATGATTTTGATGATGAAATTAGTGAAATTAGTTCAGTCTCTTCAAGGGGAGTAAAACATTGTATGATGTTGATCTAATATTATTATATTATCATCTACAGGGTTAGTTATAAAACTGTCCGGTTTTAAATTAAAAGTCTGAATTTCTTGCCTGATATTTTCAATTTTACCACTGAAAAAATTCATGAAGTCATCGCTGCTGTATGATGATCGTGTGCGTGTTTCTATTGTGGTCTTATTCCTAGTTAATTTTGCGACAGTATTAAATAAGAATCTAGGATTATTTCTGTTATCTTCAATTAGGGTGGAGAGATACACTGATCTAGCAGCACTAAGAGCTTTCCTATAGCTCAAAAGCCTCTCCTTCCATGCTATTTGAAATACTACTAATTTAGTTTGACGCCATTTACGTTCTAGTTTTCGAGTGGTCTGTTTTAAAGTTCGTGTGTGATCGCTATACCACGGTGCTAGCTTTTTCTCCCTAATTATTTTTCTTTTAAGTGGAGCTACCTTATCTAGCGAGTTGCAGAACGTTGATTCTAAGCATTCAGTTGCCTGGTCAAGTTCTTTGGGATCAGACGGTGATCCAATCATGGTTGATAAATCTGAGAGATTACTGATAAAACTCTGTGCAGTTGTTGACGTGAACGTACGTTTGACACGGTGATGTGGCAAGGTGCATATATTATGATTCACCTGGGTATACTTATTTTTAGTGGCTACAAATGTTATGTTAGAATAAAGAACTTCAAATGCGTTGAATTTATGACTAGATTTTTGTGTGATGTCTAGATTATCATTATAGATGACTGCGACGCCTCCTCCTTTGCCAGTTAGACGGGGCTGATGTATGTGACTGTACCCGGGAGGATTAGCTTCATTTAATGCTACAAACTCGTTTGGTTTGATCCATGTTTCTGTTAAACACAGTACATCAAAATTCTTATAAACACACTCCTCAGCCTTGTGGACAGCCTTCCCAGAAGAGTTGAAGCTGTAATAGCTGCAAAAGGTGGACCGACATCATATTGAACCCTATGGGTTAGGAATGGGATGGCACTTAAGTTCATATGTGAGTCAAGGCAGGTGACCGAATACTTTTGGTAATATAGTGTATGTCCGGCACCCTGGCTCCCGGTATACACCTAGCTAAAGCTGCTGGTGCCCCTAAAGGCCTAGCTAATTTCACGTGCTGCAAGATAGAGTCTCCTGTAACCAGAGCTCTTTCAGGTTTCTCAGCGGGTGCTTCACTGCGGAGAGCAAACCTGTTGGACACGCGAAGCGGAGAGGAGTGGTGCTCGTGTGGGCGAGCCTTGGCTTTGGCTTTGCGATTGTGCTGCCGAGTCGTCACAGTAAACAGCAACCAGAAACCATTGCAGAGAAAATCAAATTTGCTTGTAAATATTGTAATGTTTACACAGAAAAACACCTCTATGAATGAGTCATACTATTCAAGTCATCGCCATGGAGCTGGAAAACTATTCCTCTAGAAAAAAATTCTTCCAATTTTAAGGTTTTTATTTGACTCACCCATGTGTTAGAGGTTTTGCTAGCTGTTTCTGATCTTTCTTCTTTAGATTTTGGAGCCGATTATGTGATTCAGTTTCTAGAATCCTGATCCCAGATATTTACATTCATGGCATTTGGCAGGGTTAAGGGCCTTTGCTCAAGGGCCCAGCAGTGGCAGCTTGGTGGTGCTGGGATTTGAACTCATGACCTTCCAATCAGCAGACCAGCACCTTAACCACTGAGCTACCACTTCCTAATGCTAGCTAACACACATGAAAAGAACTGATCAGGGAGTGTTAGTTTGGACTGTTTTATTAGATAATATGCTGTGTGCGTGTTCTGTTGTTCTGTTAATTCGTTATTATTCTGTTATACTTGTAGTTTTGTGGTATGAATGATAAACAGTGAATGAGGGTTCACGTGTAGACAGACTGGAGCAGTGTAGGAAACTGCAGGTATCACAAAAACATCATAATCACTTTATTGACTGGGGATATAGTCCATATATACTATATATACTATCCATATATACACTGGATTTGACTCGGAAAGATTGGACAAAATATACGGATAATATAAACAGCGTAAATCATGCAGAAGCAGTTACAGCAGTGTAAATGCAAACTATACAAAAAAATTACAATAAATATAATTTCAAACATGTATGCCAGGATAATGTTTGCACAGATGATTGTGTCTTGATTGTATTGATTCCACATTTTCCGTAAGATGTAGCTACTGCATTATAATGAAATTCTGTGTAAAGAAGGGAAAGCTCACTGTCTGATGAGGAATCAAATGAGGAACATGTTTACAGCATAAATATGAAGTCAGACGTTTTTGAAAGCACATTACTTTCATTGTGATTAAAATTGTTTTCATTACACATTTCATTAATTTCAAGTGATAGTGTAGCATTTCAAAAAAGAAACAGTAATATAGTATTGTACTTTTTTATAGGACATTCTAGATGACACACACACACACACACACACACACACACACACACACACACACACACAGGCGAGTGGAGGATTATGGGTAGTAGCTGGAGCTTCCATTTATATCTCCAGCGACCCACTGTAACACAGCTCACATGGCAGTAGTTTATATAAACTGTCCTTCAGTGTGCTGGGTTTAGGCTGAGGCTTTTAGCTGCACCCATGACTAAAGTGGCAGAATGTAAACATATCCGCTCTCCTGCCCCACCGTGACTGTCCTTCTGCCCCTCTGCCCCCTCCGCTCCCGTCACACAGATGGTGTTTAAAGTTTATGTTAATTCAATTGGAGACAATTATAGAAAGTGAATTTTTAAACTTTATTACTCTGTAAACAGTTTGATTTTGTCTCTCAATCTAAATTAATTACTAATATAAGATGATATTACTCAGTAGAGACAGATATTTAACCCTATTAATTCCACCTTATATGATTATATATGCTTTATTATTATTTTCTTCATTGTATTTTCTAAGATCTAAAATGTAAGGTATTTCACATTTTAGTGAAAGGTTAAAAATCTTGTTGCTAAGTTGTTACCAAAAAAAAAAGTCATTTTAAACCTCATACAATATAGTCATATTAAAATACATTTAAAAACAACAATGTAGACATATTAACTAAGGAGTAAATCACTCGATGTCATGCTGCTTTAGAAAAATAATTAATGGCGCAGTAATGAAGTGGAATTACTGTCACCACCCCAAAGACAGCATGTCCCCAAGTGTTTTATTCCTCATATACCACAGCAAACATTTGTCAACATTTAAAATCTTTCGATTTATTAAAGAATGAAATAAATTTTTGTTCATATATAGTTACATTTAATGTTGTGAAACATCTGTGAAAGGGGTTAGTTCTTGTTCTCACGTGTTATAGCAGCTATAAACAGACGTTTTCTCATCAGCCTTTTTTCTCTAACTTGATGTTAATCAGACAAAAGCCACACTCGATGTTGTCGAGGAGCTAGCAGAGGTAAATGGACAGAGAAGTTCCTCCTGCACTGGTGCAGCATGTCAGGGTAGTGAAAAAGACTAACCTAGCACATACACTCTTCATTTAAATGCGGCTTGTTTGAATGCGATTCCAAGTAACATTTTGGAATAGCGCACAAAATTTATCTTCATAGTTAAATGTTCATAAAATGCATAAAACATCTGTAAATTAAGCGACCCCACATGGGGTCATGACCCCTAGTTTGGGAACCCCTGATTCACACTGTGAAGCTACGAATCCTGTGGCCTTCCTCAGCTTATTTTCTGGGATCAAGTGTTGGTTATCACTTCACTGCTTTACGCTATATATTATTCTGTTGCTGGTACCATTTACTGCTGTTTCATATTGTCTTACATTCTTCCCCTTTTAAGGATGTCTGAAATGCGTATAAAATTTAATTTGTTTCAACACCTTAATCCTGGACACAGCCTCAGGTGTGGACAAATCAGTAGCCGGGGTAGCTGGAATAAGTATCTGGACTTGGCTATGGTTGTGAATTACACAGTGACTGTAACACGAATTACCCCTGAATCCCACCTGCTTAACTACACATATCAGCCAGCACTGTTGTTAGGAATTATTAATAGTCCAGTAAGTTAGCTTGCACAGATCAGGGACACGTGGTAACGTCTAAGCTGAGCAGAATACAGCATAAAACTGACAAATAACCTCACTGTCACTTTGCAATTTAACACATAAAAAGAAAAAAAAAAAAAAAAAAAGCTAGTTAACTTTTTTTATGTTCGATTGAGGGAAAAACAGCAAAGTCCAATAGCTAATAGAGCTTATTAAAGCTTTTTAAAAAGCAAGTAGAACTCCATGCCAGTGGCGTAGAGAGAGATACCTCTGCCCCCAAAAATGCGCCTTGAGTTCATGAACATAATGCGTAACATCTCTGTATGGCAAACATCACGGAAGCTGTTGAAGAGAACTAATTCGACATTTGACTTTGTGGGACCTTGACCCGTTCATCTGCTGGTTACAATGATAATTCTATATAAATCCTACAAACATTCAGCTGTGCGTTTCTAGTGATATTGTGATCACTAGAATCTCGGATGGCTGCATGGACATCTTGAAAACATAAGGGGTAAAAATAAGCTTGTTACAGTAGTTACTTATTTTATCTATTCTTCAGTCTCCTTTGGGTGTGTGTGCTTCATGGAGGCATGCAAATGATGAATTAGTGTGTGTTTGTTATCATTGGTGCATCTGTAGCTTCCAGCAGTAATCAGTTCCAAACCATAGTCACAGGATAAGTGTTCTGTTCTTACAGTGAATGAAGGTCTTGTTAGATTTCGCTGCTGCAAACCACCAGTAAGAACCACCCAAATACATTCTCATACTGAGACCTTTCACCAAAGTCAGAAAGCAGTGTATGACACAATATTTACAACAAATACCTCTGTATACAGCCATCTTGTCATTTCTTCTTCTTGTCTTGTACCTATCCAACCATACACCATATGCAGCTCTCTGTGTAGCAGCTTGTGACTGCACTTGAAGCTGTCCTCCAAAGCTGGAGCCATTTCTAGTGAAATGCTATGAAACCCAGAGGTGTCCACTACCTTGAATTGCCTTCGTCTTAGCGCTATTATCCTCATATCTTAAAGCATTGTTCACTAGTTTTCTGTGAACTTCCTGTATTGTTGCTCAATATGCTGCACTCACTACCCATGCACCCCATCTGGTTGGGTTCTCCCTCTGTGTTGTCTGCATAGAGTGTTCCACGTCTCCTGTCATTTAGCCAATTAGCAGGCCCATGGCTACATTTTGGTATCACTGTTGAATAGTTTTCTCTTGCCATACTACTCACTGTTTGCTGTTGAATCTGCTAAGTTAGCAGGATTTTCACTAATATGCATCCCTAGGGCTGAGGTCAGGTTTCCTTTCACACACTCCTCGTTATTTATTTACTTGGGTCAGATATCTCCAATTTTTCATGACACCGAGTGGTTAACCATGCTGCAAGACTGAAGGCTCATACAGCTGCTGTCAAAATGTCATAGCAGCCGAAGACAGGCACTAGTTATATGTACACTAGCTATCTTAAGGCTCGAACATCGCCTGCAAGTTAATGCTGACATGGCATACTCAGTTGTCTGAATCTGTCCCAAGCGCCATAGCCTAAACAGCTCACTAATCACAAAAGGCTGCGTGAGTGAAACCGTATAGTGCTATACAACCCGCAGCTATGAATGCGCTCTTTCACACACTACGGTTGCAGAGGAGCTGTCTATGCCACAGTGCAAGAATTTTATTGAGAGCTTTAAAGCACAGATTGCCCAGATAAGTTTCACGGTGATGTATGTTTTACATTCCAATCTACAGAAACTGATCCCTTGCACAAGCCTTAGCACACCATCAAACCTGTAGTAGTATTCTTCTCATGGGGCCCTAAACAGAATCTAGTAAAGCTGTTGCTCTGACGCTTTACTTCAAATACCAGTCCAGTAAACTGAAAGAAAGCGCCCTTAGTACTGAATGCTGTGCACCTCATTGACTAGATCTGGTGTATTTCACAGTGCACCACAGCACCATGGATGGCCCCACTCTTTCTGAAATAGATCACTTCATCAAAAAGAGAACCGTATTCTCTGGTTATACGGTTGCCTTGAATGTACTGGTGGCCCGATGGCTTTGTGGTGACCTTGTTGTTGAACTTGGGATTTCTGCTCAGGGTCATATCACCCGGGTTTTTTTAAATCAATCTGTTGACCTTGCAGCGTTCTGTTAAGGTGAGCCTGCAAAACATTCCATGTTGTGGAACGTTTGATCTTCAGATTTGTCTTTATCGAATTAGAGGCTGGCCTACTAAGGGGTGGACATCATCACCACAGCATACAGACAGGCTGATCACCTTTCAAATTAATCCTAAAGTGTGTGTGGTTCCTCAGGGCATTGTGGTATAGGTTATTCATGTGTTAACCTCAGATTACATGACAGACCTGCTTGAAATGATTCTTATACCTTACACCAAAGATGCTCAAAATGTCTTAACTTCCTGTTGATTACCTGGGAGCGCTGCCTGACGCATCTAACTCATTCTCTTTTGTTCTACCTCTAGCCCGGACCCTGTGCTCACACTCATGTTGGGGGAGGCAGTCAATGGAGGACACCGCCCTCAAACAGCCCACTATGGTTTCCAGACTACCAAAATTTGGCTCTCGTGCTACACCTGCTTCTGGACCCTTGACCAATGGCTCAACCCATAATATTTCCTTTGGATGGGCTAAAGGAGTACCTGTAGGAAAGCAGA